TCAACAGTTAAAGACTTCAATAACTGAATCAATAATTGATGGAACAATTAGACCTAAAGACAGCAAGGACAGAGATTAGAACAATACTAACAACTGAAGTGACCTAACTAACATGTAAAAACCACTCTGCCAAACAACAGCAAAATAATCAGGTGCACCTTGAAGCCTCTCTAAGATGTATCATCGACTAGGCCATAAACACTTCTCAATAAATTTAAAAGTATTGAAATCATATAGTTATATCAATATGTATAATCTATCTCTCTATCTCTCTATCTATCTCTCTATCTCTCTATCTATCTATCTATCTATCTATCTATCTATCTATCTATCTATCTATCTATCTATCTATCTATCTATCTGAAACAAAGGAATTCAATTACTAAAAATAGAGCTACTATATGACGCAGCAATTCCACTTCTAGGAATCTACCCAAAGGACACAAAACCATTAATTTGAAAGGAAACCTGCACTCATATGTTTGTTTATTTATTTATTTATTTATTTATTTATTTATTTATTTATTTATTTTTATACAAGAGCTGGGGTACAGGCCAGAGGCGCGGGAGGGTGAGAGGATTCACCAGAGACAGAGCAGGGAGCAGCACAGGCAGACAACAGAAATACACTGCTGAGGGGAGCAGCAGGCATAACAGGAGAGGTCTGCCATACCATATGGGATTCTCGCCAGCCAGCGGGGATCGAACCGGCACTGCAGAGGCTGCGCACAGCTCCACAGCACAGCGCTCAACCCACTGCGTCACCAGGGAGACCCTCATATGTTTATTGCAGCACTATTTACAATAGCTAAGCTATGAAAACAACCTAAATGCCCCAAAACAGATGACTGGATTAATATATACAGCAATCAAAAAAGATAAACTCATGCCATTTGCAAAAACATGGATGGAGCTGGAAGGGATTATGCTCAGTGAAATAAGTCAGAAGGAAAAAGAAAAATACTAGATGATTTCACTTATAGGAAGAATGTAGGGAAACTGAACAAGGAGTGACATCTCACATTCAGCTGAACATGCCAGACAGGCAGTGAGACTCCTGGAGTACTGAAGAGCCATGGCTGCGAAGTGCTTCCCCAGCTCACTCCTCAACAAGTGGTGTGATTTGGAGAATCCATGTCCACAGAGTTGGACGCTTACCCAATGAACCTTATGGCTACTGTCAGCACAGCACCTCCTCCATGAAGCCCACACCATGGCTCCATGGCTGCCATCTTTGGGCACCTACTATGTGCTAGACATTTTGTTATACCCTATCACATGAATCCCATGGTCACAAAGCTATCAGGTATTAAGGGGGGAGATGAATGGAATAAAGATGGCAGACGGTGGAATTGGAACTCAAATCTGACTGACTCAAACCATTTTAACCACAACCTCTCACACATAGATCAAGTCACCCCCACAAGGGTGGGGACCATAATTTTTTCATTTAACTCTATATTCTCATACGTAAAAAGAATGCCTGGCACAAGGCAGAAACTGTATGAAAAAACAAAGTCCCAGCAGAAAAAGACTCAAATTCAGAGGAAATTAGGTGTATCCACCAGGGTCTGAGACATTGCAAGAGTGGCTGCCTTTGAAAAGACAGATTGACATCCCTTAATTGTGTTCTTCACATCGAGTCCCCAGAGATAGAGATTTTGTTGGCTAAAATCAATCAACACTGCAGACACTCTGAGGAGAGGGTGGGGCCAAGGATTTCTTGACATCAATCAGAGATACTTGGCAACTCTTGCCTCTGCAGCAGAGACTGAAGGGACCAGAATCTGGGACATAGCCAAGGTGAGTTGACCCCTTTCCTCCATCCATCTGCCTGAGACTCTACCATTAGTCACTCTGGGTGGGCTTTAGTGTAGGTTAAGGCATCATGGGGAATGGGTGTCAAGAACAGGGATGGGGGTGGGGGAGAAGGTGGGGTCAATTTTGAAACCTGAACTGGTACCTGGGTGTTGAAAAGAGGAAGCTTGACTAGAATTACCATATGATCAAGCAATAAACTTTTGGTATCAACCCAGAAGAACTAAAAGCCAGGTCTCAAAGAGATATTTGTACATATTTGTTCACAGCAGCATCATTCACAACAGGTAAAAATGGAAGGTAGCCAATTGTCCATCGATAGATGAATGGGTAAGCAAAATGCTATATATAAGTGTAATGGAATATTATTCAGCCTTAAGAAGGAAGGAAATTCTGACACACGCTATGGCAATCAGCCAAGCCCAAAAGGACAAACGCTGTATGCTTTCACCTATGCCCGGTAGTTAGAGGAGTCAAACTGTAGGCACAGAAGAAAGTAGAATGGAGGTTGCCAGGAGTTGAGTCGGAGGAAGAAGGGGGAATTAGTTTACAGGGCACAAAGTTTCAGTTTTGCAAAGATGAAACAGCTCTGGAGAAAGATGGCGGTGGTGGTTGTACAAAATGCAAATGGACTTGACACCACGGAAAGTTAAAGACAGGCAAGATGGCAAATGTGATGCCCTGTGTATTTTATCACAATAAAAACTAAAGTCCCGTGTGTAGGACAGAAGAGTATGATTTTAACTACCAACTCTACCCTTAACTGCCTGTGGGGTGATGCCCTCATTTGCCTCTGCTGTGAAATGGAGAAAATCCCCAGGGTGGGAAAACTCTATCTTTTCAGGCTGTTTGAGGATCTGTAACCTTTTCACATTGTGCATGATATTTTGTGACGAGAGTTTGTGTGCATGTGGTAAAAGGCATCTGCTATTTTTGATTTAGGAACAGAAAGGATCCAGCAGGTACCCACAAAATGAGTGAACTTCATTGGGAAAAAGTGTTGGCATCAAATGCCAACGTTTAGGCACCGCATGGTAGGCACACAGGGGACTTCACCAAGGCTCCTTTACACCCTGACCATGCATTCCCTCTGCTGCCGTCTAGTGTCTAATAACAATGTTGACCTTTTCTAGCTGTCAGACTTGTCTTATTAAATCCTGAGGTCTTAACTGCTTTGCACACAGAGGCTGACAGTTTGCCCATCCGAGCACGTGTTCATGTATAATTCATAGCATATCACGTTGCCTGGCAAATGAATATTTATCAGCTTTTTCATAAGAGGCAGGATGGCGTTTCCTTTTGTTGCCACCAAAATTCTGTGCTGCAGCAAATGAAATTTGTGAGCAAATAAAAAAAAATGAAGCAAAAGTCCATTCCACTTGTAATTTTCCATTTTCTGAGGCCTCCAGTGTGTATGGAGGTGGTTTCGATTTGGCTATGACAGAGAACTGCTGAGTCGTTCAGAATAGAAACGCTTCCATATGCTGCACCCACTGCCCCCGCAGAAAACTCCCCCACACCCAACTTCTGTGCTGTTTTCAACTGCAGAGGAGTTTGAGACCCTTTCCATGGTTTCATCCAGATGCTCTGAACAGAGATCCAGTTCTGGGGACCAAGAACAAGGAACCCCAAATGAAAATTGGTACAGAGTGGTCGATGGCACTAGGTCAGACAGTTTCATGAATTCCAAAATGAGCTGCCACCAGATGAATACCTTTGCATGCCCCCAGCTGGGTCCAATATCTACCCCCTCGATGGGGAGTCAGGAGGGCCACATAGAAAGTGCTGCCTTACCCACTGGAGGTGGCTCACCACAGCAGACTGTGCCCTGGTCAAGCAGCCACCTAGGATTGTAACTCTGCTTACACTTCCGGCCTCATGATGTACTAATTGAGGATTCTAGAGCTGATGACCTCGGACCCACATGGGCACAGTCGGGGTTCTAAACCTGGTTATAGACATAGGCTCTGTGTGAATGCTTGCTACCATTCTGGTCTTGAAAGATGATGACATTGCTATTGATGCCGAGGATGCTGAGGATCGTGGTTGACATACATTGAGCTCTTACTCTGTAACAGGCCCTGCATCAAGCACATCAACTGTACTAGCTAGCACAGGTAATCTTAAAAACACTGACTTGTTCCCACTTTACAGATGAGGAAACTGAGGCAGAAAGCTATAGTAACTTGTAAGCTCACAGACAGCCACAGCTGGGGGGCAGCTGTTTGCCTCTAGAGTCCATGCTCTCTTAACTGCTAGCCCTGGAATCAAGAAACTTGGTTTCAATATTTGGTTGCGTGGCCTCAAGGCAGTCGATTTATCTCATTGAGCCTCTGCTTTCTCATATGCAAAAGGATGTAATAGCTCATGATTTGCAGATCTTTAGTGAGGATGCAACAGGACCTTGCAAACCCTAAAGAGCTCGGAAATCACTGACCAGCAGTGGTCATTCTCAATAGAAAACATGTATTGAGGGCTTGGCTGAGGGGTAAAGGCAAAGGCTCCAGCCCCAGGAGTTTACAATATAGTTGCAGAAAGAAAGCACACTGTGAAAGAAATACGAGCTAGGATGAATATTCATTCACTCATTCAACAGAAAATTAATGGCGCCTTTGCTGTGACCCAAAAAAACACAGAGGTGATCCACACGAGTTCAGCTGAGGGCAAGTGCTACCCAAACATAAAGACAAGGTGATGTGCTGGAGAGGACCATGTGAGCTTGGCGACGCTGGCCATGCAGGGATTGGGAGGAAAGTGTGCTCCCAGCAGAGGGAAGAACTAGCACTACGGCCCCAAGGGGGAGAGTTTATTGTCATTCTCTAAGAGGGTGAAATACTTCCCCAACATTTTAGAGACGAAGCCCTCTTTACACAGACTAACTCAGGGTGCTGGTTCTGGTGTTTGTCATCTTGCCAGGGGCCTCTCTCGCTGAGACATGCTCTTCCTATCACTCTAGCTCTGTTCCTGCCCGTCCTCAAGCAGGGCTTCAGAAGGGCCATTCTAGGCCAGGCCATGTCCTAAATGATACTGCAGGGGTCTGGTCTGGAGCAGGAATTTCAGCCAAACTTCAAATCACCCTCATCTTTGCCTCCAAAGCCCAGTTCTCAGATCCCAGCCCCTGGGCAATCCCAGGGACCAGAAGCCACCAGGGCCTCCACCCCCCTCCACCCAGCTTCACTTACCTTCCTCTCGTCTATCCTCTCGGAGGTTGACATGAGCTTCTTCATGAGCACAGGGTCCAGCACCTGGAATCGTCGGCGGAACTGAGCGAGCCCCATGTGGTCAGCATAGCCTAGGGGGGGTGGAAGCAGGCAGAAGAATGAGGAATCCAAAGACAAGGCCAATGGGGTCCTGGTCCCAGCCCTGGTCCTGTGGACAGAGCTCAGTTCCTGCTGCCAGCTTCGCACTCACTTGCTGTGCAGACTCACTTCTCAGGGCCTCAGTTTCCCCATTTGCTAATTTAAGAAAATGGGTTCAAGCAGCAATTCCCACATGTGATCCCCAAAACACAAGCTCTATAAAACATTCCACTGAAAGTCTGAAAAAGCCACACTCTCCTGCGCTGCTGTGAGGTAGCGGTGCGTGTCACCATGGATGTCAAGGATGCTGAACGCCAGCAGGAAAGATGCCTGATTGGCTTTGCTTATCAGGAGCTTCCCAAACCTGTTGTCCTTGGAAAAAAAATGTTTCTTGGCTAATTCTTATTACCCCTGTCCTCCACCCCCACGTGTGGAATGGCTGCATTCCAGATACATCTAAGTCGAAGGTGGAGGATGGACACGGCTGCACCTTCTGGGTGGAAACTGGCAGGAGGCATCTGGGAAGGTACTGACTGAAGGTGACAGGGCCAACCTTGGAAGGAGCTGTGGGATTCTGCCAAAGGGTTTGGTGCAAAAGTGAAGTATAAGCAGAGGGAGCTCATGGGGAAAGACAAGGGTTGTTTGCAGCAATGTCAGCATGAACTGAGCACCTCTCTGTGTAAGACACTAGGATAACAACTTCCTTGCTGTTATCCTCTGAGGTCTTTGTTGCCATACCCTTTTTATAGATGTGGAAATTGAGGCCCAGAGAGTTCGAGTCATCGAGCTCAAAATTATAGGGAAAGGCGGTGACTCTCCCTGCTGGATTCGATACCAGAAATCAACAATCACTAGCCCAGTGGTAGAGTACCTAACAGAGGGTCAAAGATGAGCTGGGACTAGGCGCCAAAGGAATATGAAGTTAAATCCCAGTCTTCTCGGTTTGAACTTCATCTGGGATACAAGGGGCATGGTAGAGATCCCCCAAGTGGCCAGATGGAGCTGGTCTGGTGAAATCTCATCCCACTTTTGAGACTTTACTTCATAATAAGCCAAAGGCATAAACCTTCAGGAAAAAGGGTGGTTGGTAGGTATGAAAATCCAGAAAGACTTCCTGGAAGAAGAGGGACTTAGGTCTGACAGATGCTGACTGCACAGAGACAGGAGGGGTGAGAGATTACAAGCCTGTAGACTTATCAATGTTCACATCCCTTTCCTGCCCTTATTACTACACTGACCAGTCACAAATGACCCTGTCTCTTGGAGATTCAATTTCTTCACTTGTCTAATGGGAATAACAAGATTTATTGTCATATGGTCACGATGAGGATTAAATCTAATGATCATTACAGTACAAGAGGTTAACTTATATGGAGAGATTTTCCATATCCAGATGCTTTTCTAAGTGTTATTCCCTTATTAACTCATCACCCCACTCAACAGTTCCCTGAGGGAGCTTCCAGGGGAAGAAAGGAGGCCTGCTCCAGGGCTTGCCCAGTGTTGGCCACAATCCAGGCCAGGCCGATCACTCCAGAGTCTGGGCTGTGCCCACCAGGCTGCACCACAGATGTTTAATGAGTGTTTATTCTATGCCAGGTGCTGTGCTAAGGGCTCTGTGAGAACCATGTCATTAGCATGTGTAACAGAGCACAGCACATTGTAGGTGCTCAATAAATAGCACATCTATGTATGCATTATTATGCAGGTGTGTATATATATTATATATGTACAAATTCAAAAGCATAAATATTTGACATATGTACATATCAATGTATATTTTTCTTACATGGTGTGTAAGAGACAGAAGTGATTTAAGTCACTTAAAAAAAAACCATGTGTGTGAACCAGGTCTGGGAGGCAGAAATGTCAAATTCTACCATAAGACTCTGACCCCCTTCTGCACTAGAAAACTCATCCTGATCATGTCAGACCTCACTGAGAATGCAGAGCACAGACACTGCAGCGAGGGCACCAGGCCTGAGCCGGGGGACGTGCAGACCCCAGCATGCACATGGGGGCTCTGTACCAGGCAGGCCAGGGTGTCTGCAAAGACCCCATGTGTCCTGCCAGCCTGCCGGGTGGAATCGATCAGCTGCTGGCTGTGACCATCTTGCTCTTCCCCTGTGACATTATCTGTCGCTCTCCGCCCATGGTTATGCAGGCAGGAGGGAAAATCAATGAGACGCTCCAGGACCAAGGGTCTCATCTTGGCTTCCAGCTGCTCCCAGCTTCTCCATCAAATATCTAATGCCCAGGGTTCCATTATTAATGTGGTGGGAGGAGGAGGGGCAGTGATCACAAGCCAGGGCGTCAATGACCATGGACACACTAAACAAACAAACAGGTGCCCAACTAGACTCCCCACCAGCCCCAGCCACCCCACCCTCTGCAGAGAATGACTGTTTCTGGGCCACTTTTAACTGTCAGGGAGCGGGATCCATGTGGCAGCCTCCTAGGCCAGAGAGGCAGAAAAGAATGAGGACTCAGATCAAATGCGACCCATGAGTTAATGGTAGAAGCCTCAGTTCACGCTTGCTTTCTAAAATAGCAGCCCGAATAAAGACTTCATTCCTTTGATTAAAACCCCTTCATCCTCCTAGCATCCCAGCATGTCCTCAGCAGGGCCTGGTAAGCACCAGACTTCCACAGCGCTCCCCAGTGTCTCTGCCTGCCTCATCTCCCACAATCCCCCATCCTTTTGAGCCCCAGTCCCTAAAAAACCAGGTTCTTCTACGTCTCCCAGCCTTTGCATATGCTGCTCCCCCTGTCTGGCCTTCCCTCTCCCCCATCCCCCTGCTTCCCAGAGATAGGCTGTTTCTTTTGTTTCAAGGCCCATTTAAGATGTCACCTGCCCTAGGAGGTATTCCCAGTCTCCCCAGTGCAAGCGGGAGCATCCAGGTACCTCCTGCTTCCCCTGGACATTTGTTCTTGTCATATATTATCATCACCTCTTTTCACACTGACCCCCCAAAGCTGAGCATTTTGGAGACCAAAATATTACTCATGTGGGAATTCCCCTCTCCATTCTGAGGCAGATGCTCCTCAGACATTTGCTGTTGATAGGAAGTGGGAAGACACAGCCCTCACCTTCCAGGAGCTCACGACTAAGAGATCCAGGTTCAAATCCAGGCTTTGCCACATCCCTGCTGTGTGACCCTGGGCAATTTCCTTCATCTCATCTTCCATAAGATGGGGGTACCCAGAACACCCCTCTCACAGGGAAGCAGGAAGCATAACAGATGCTGCGTGGAGATAGCCTGGTACATGGCTGGTACTCTCGGCCCTGGCCTGCTACTGGCAGAAGACCTGCCCCAGGAGTCACTGACATGATGCTCTACTCCTTGGCTGCCTCTTACCTGTCCTGTGCAGTCGCAGTGCGTCCAGGATGTGGGACCCTGCAAGCTGGACCCTCAGTGCTGGGATGTCCAAGGGCAGGCCCCCACCTGCCGCGGGCTTGTCTCCACCAGGCTGCGGTGGAGTCAGAGACCCCTGCCCACTCCTGCTGTCCACCCGCGGGCTGGGCACCAGGCAGTGGATGAAGTGTAACTGAGACCGTCTGAGCATGCTGGTCAATGCATCCTAGGACCAAGAGGAGAAGGGGTGAGTGTTTGCTATTTGGGGTGAGACAGACAGGGGACTGGAAATTCCCCAAACACATATTCAATCTAGCCTGGGCATCTTTGGGGGCGAGGACCTCTTATCTGTGGCCTGATTTGCATCCATGAGAAATACAGGTCCTTTATAATAGTCCTTGTTCTAGCAGACAGATGGGGAAACTGAGGCTAGAGAAGCCAAGTGAGTTACATAGGTAGGTGACACAGACCACTGGTAGAAGAGGTAGACAGGAGCCCAGGGCCTCGCCTGCAGGTTTCTCCAGTGTAATAATGCCATGTGCTTTCGGAAACTTATCCTTGCCACATCCAGCTTTCTGGGCGCAGTCCCGCCACTGACCAAAGTGTTCTCAGTTGTGTCTAGGGAACACAGTACAGCTGTGCTGGATCCTGCTGTGCCCACCAGGAGAGCCAAGTGATATGAGAGGTGAGGAGGGCAGGCAGGGCCAGGCTGGCTGTGATATTTGTCACCTTGGTGAAGAGGGCATTTGTGCAGGGGAGGTTTGAAGCGATGCCAGGAAGGGGAGACATATGGGGCCAAGAGGACCATGGCTTCCACTCACCATCTGTAGCTTGATCTGGGTGCATGGGGCTTTCCTCTTCACTGCCGCAAAGCTGCTGGCAAATGCCCTCCTCACGGCGCAGGTTCTCTGCAGAGCCTGCTGGGAGGTGCCCTCCAGGCCCGCCACAGCCTGGCACACGGGGGGCAGCTTGGCCCGGGACTGGAACAGGCGTCTCAGCTCCTCCCTGGCAGGTAGGAGGGGAAAGGAGGGCTCTAGGGGGCTCATGAGGCAGGTGGGGGTGAAGAGAATGGAACTTCTTTGCTTCCTGCTAATCTGCCTCTGGAAGCAGTTCTTCTGTTCCCAGTCCCTCTGTCAGGTGAGCCACTGCTTCGTGGCCAGCTCCTTCCTACAGGCCTCTCTCCACCCCCATGACCTGACAGCATTTCTCCTTCTAGTAGTATCTGTATCTGAGAGAATTCTACTAATCTGCACTTTCTCATAAGACAAAATCATAGTGGTTATCCCTAGAATGGCTCTGAAACACAGGTGTGCCTTAATGCATGTTTCATGTGAGAATGACTCACACTGGACAGGCAAGATCAGGGCTTGAAATGCCTGGCCTGACACCCAGCAGTGGATAACACCCTCCTTCCCTCGGCATCCTTGAAATGTATAAGTTCTGACATTAGTCAGACAATTAAGGCAAAGGTTGGGGCTCCTTAAAAGTTTGTTCAGATACGCCTGAGCTGGCCTGCTCTCTCGTAGGGGCAAAAGAGGACTAAGAAGGCCAGAGACCCTGCTGTGCCCTAGGATGGGACCAAGGTGACTACGACTTGGCCCAGGTCTCCTGGCTTTCGCACGCCGTCCTCTGGCAACCTTGCTTTTGCCCCATCCTCTGACTTGACCACTCCTCAGGAGCTGTATGCCATCAGGCCCTCCTGCATACGGGCTTCCCACCAACCCTGCCCACAATATCCCAGGGGCTTATCCAAGGCCTACTGAGACCCAGTGGTGTCCTGGCAAAGCCACTTGGTTGCCTTGTCATCAAAGGAGCACCATTTGACCTCTCAGGGTCTTGGTTTTCACATCTGTAAAATGGGGCTAAGGACACGTTGCTGTTGTAAGGATTAGTGAGATACTTAGACAGCATTTGTCCTCGTGCCAGGCACAGAGCGTGTGGTCAGAAAATGTTCTTTCTCTCCTCTCATGCCCCCAGTGCCTCCCTAGCAGTCTCTTTTTCTCTTCTTATCTCAAAGCTCTGCTCCTGCAGGATTGCAGCACTGAACCTAGATCACTGAGCATATATGTCTGCGCGTATGTGCGCGCACACAAACACACACGCATGCGCGCGCACACACACAGACACAAACACACACACACACACACTTCCCATTAACTCTCTGCACTGCAAGCATTAATGTGGCCAGCCCTCTGCCAACACTTCTGAGAATCACAGTCAGGGGGTACAGTGAGCTTTTTTTATGCTGTAAAACGTTGTCATTTCAGTTTTACGACCCCCTGGTTCTAGGATGTCTATAAAAGTTCCAGTCACATCATCTCTCAGGCACTTAATGAAAGGCAAAAAGCCAAAATCAGAAGTGGCAGTTTTGTAGCTTTTGTTCCACCTCCCTGGAAGGCCAGCTTTTCCCCTCGGCTGGATTCCCGCAGGCCCGGGGAAATGCAGCATAGTGAGTTATGGCCCTTTGTTTCCTTAGGGCAGGCACTGGCTTGTTGGGGCCTCATGTTGAGGGTCCCACAGCCCCTCCCCCATCCTGGTATGTCCCTAGCCCTGGTCAGTCTCACCGTTTTGACTGCTGAAGGACCTGGGGGGCTTCTAGGGCCGAGAGGTTGGGCTTGGCCTTGTGGAGCCAGCCCGTGAGGTCATAGCGCACCGGGTCCTGCCCCAGCTGGTGGGCGATCTCGCACTGGAGGGGCTGCTCACAGGTCCGGAGGGCAGAGGTCCCTGAAAGCAGACAGGAATGAATGTTGGGGCCTGGCGGGGACATCCTGAAATCACTGGGTACAATTGAAACACACTATTTCCATTTAAGTTTGTTTCCAGATAGCCCGAGCAAATGATTCTGACACCCACATTTCTCCTGTTTTGTGTTTGTGTGTGTTATTTCCAAAGTGGATCATGGTCCTCCTTGCTTTTGGAAGTCCAGAATACCTCTTTTCCCCAAACATCACCAGGGCAGATAACCTTCATGATTTGTGGCATAACCATGTACCACCTGGACGATTCACATAGTTTTCTTTAAATGGACTCACATGTTTACAGGTAAAATCCATTTACAGAGAAGCACACCACTGCATGTGTGGTGTGCAAGCTCTTTATTTTCTAACATTCATGGAAACAAATACATAATTACTGAATTTTCAAATTATTTATTCATGTGCGACCTAAAATCATCTTAGATATCATCAGCTAAATAAATGCACAAAATACTCTTAGGAGATCTCTGTCAAGCACGTGGTTGCAAGGAACAGCAGGAGAAACAAATGGGCTCACAGCTGAAGAAGACCCGTGTTCAAATCCTGATTCTACCACTTACTATTGTGCAATACCAGTCAACTCACTTAGTTCTCTGAGCCTCGGTCTCCTTCTTCATAAAATGTGGATTAAAAAATACATACACCTGGTTCCTAGTTTTTTGTTGATTTTGATTTTCACTTTCTTATAGTTATTCATTTTCCTGCTCCCTTATTTAAGTTTTCTAGATTCCTGCTATGAGTGAGACCATCCGGTATTTTTCTTTTTCTTTTTGGCTTATTTCGCTGAGCATGATCCCTTCCAGCGCCATCCATGTTGCTGCAAATTGCATGTGTTTATCTTTTTTGAATGCTGAATAATATTCCATGGTATAGAATGGGGGGGCTGCAATTGTATGGGGAATATAAAAATAAAATTTATTTTAAAAATAAATAAATAAATAAATAAAAATAACAACAACAACAACAAAAAAAATACATACACCTCCCAGGGTGGTGTCAGGCTTAAAGGGGATAGTATGTGTAAACATTTGTGTGCAGTGCCTGGTACACAGTGGTTGGAGAGGTCACTATCATTTCTTGAACTTAACCTGGTGCTGATGTTCTGGGGTCACATGTGCTCAGCATCATGCCTGGCCCATGAAGAGTTTGGAGGTGCTTATGGAATGAATGAGTGAATGAATGAATGAGGAAGCTAATTGCAGTGATGCTTTCAGGCCGAGCGACAGCTCCAGACCAGTTATTAGCAGGAGTGGTACAGCAGACACAAGTTCTTGTATCGATTCTGAATTATCTTCCCAGGTTTTCCTTCCTGCCATTGTCAGTCAAAATGCACATACTAGGGTCTTGAGTCCTGCCCCCAAACCTTAATTTTCCACCTCTGCACTGCAGGGATCTAGGCAATGAGGACCTGCATTTCCTGGCACTCCGTGCAAAATAAACAGTCTGAGAGGCTGCAAGCTTCCAGTGAGTACGGGATGTGGACGCTGCCATCTGTTTGGCCAGCTGGAGTCCTCTCTGCCCACTTCCCCAAGTGCCGCTGCGTTCTGGATAACCGAAGCTCCAGGCAGATGATACCTGTAGTTAAGTGTCACTGCACCAAGAGCCTCCGGGGAGCTCTTGAGAGCTGGCTAGTCTCTGTCTTCAGCGGAGCTGCTTCCAGTGAGAGAAAAGCATCTCCTGGGAACCAAGGGAAGAAGCGCATGCCTGGCTCTGCCACCCACGTCCACATTGCTCCTACGGTGCCTCAGGGATCTGCCTGCATGGCAGCCTCCTTCCACTAGAAGTGTGTTGTGCTCACCCATCATCCTGTCCAGCAGCTAGCACAGAGCTGGGCTCTGGATGAGAACCCAACAGCATTTGGGGACAGGACGGGACCAAGGTGAGAGAAGCAAGGGTGGTCCAGTTTAAATCCTGGCAGCCTCTGCTGGACGTGCTACCACAAGTGATGTCATCCAGCGCCCACTCTGGTCTGTGACATGAAATGCCATGGGGTTGGTTTATGAAGGTGGCACTGAGGTCCAGAGCACTGAGACGGCTGGGCTATTGTTGAGCAGCCTGTCAGAGCAGTGCCAGGAAGGCCTCGGGTCTCCCATCCAAATGGTGGCCCCATGTCCTGAGGTGCCACGTCCAGGCAGACAGCTCCCAGGACATAGGCGTGCTGGTTCTCTCATACTTCCTCCTCCCAGAGGGGGTTTCACACCCCAGGCTTGCTCCTCCTGACATGTCTCAGGCAGCTTTTGCTCAGGGGCCCCATGGAAACCCCCGTGTGACAGCACTTCACCCAGCAAGTCTCTCCTTCCCTCCTAGACTGGGGTAGGAGCTTCTGTGGACCCCACAGCCCCCACATTTACTACCTGTGGTTACACTGCAAATGCCTCTCCCTGACTGTCCCCTGGGCCTGGGCTTGGTGAAGGCTGCCCCAGACCCCTCTGGGCCTGCTACCCGGCAACCGCACCTTCAGTGAGAGGTTAACGCAGAGATGGAGCGCAGGGTAAGCCAGAAAGTCCCCCGTGTCTGCCTGATTGAACAGTCTCATTAACTCAGAGCTAATCAGAAAGCCCTAGAGCCAAAAAGATATTTATTTTTTAACCAAAATGTCTGAGTTAATGTATCTATCTCAGTAGGTCCTGGACAACAGATATAACAGAATCTCTCCCCCGGAACTGAGAGCCTTGGTGCACGGAGGGGGGTTCACAAATATCATTGAATTCCCTCCTGCCCAGCCGGGCCTTACAAGACACTTTCTGCTTCTGACCCAATGTTCTGTCTCATTTGCCTCAAGGTCAGAATCCAGAAAGAATCCATTTGAGAAATCCACTTCATTCTAGACGGATCACTGAGCTTTCACAGGGTCATCTGTGCTCTCCCAGTGTCCACTGCACTCTCTCCTCAACGTGCCAGGCGGCTCCAGTGCTGCGGGTGCAGCGGGGAACTGGCTCCTGCCTTCATGGAGCCCACATTTCCGACAGCAAGTGTGTGCTGTCCAGCAGCAGTGACTGCAAATGGAGAAGAGGAAAATCGGGGAAGGAGACAGGTGTGGGTGAAGAGGAGTTATTATTTCACAGGGTGGCCAGGACTGGCTCCTGAGACTGGTAGAGGTGAGGGACAAAGTCACATGAAACATCATTCCAGGAAGAAGGAACTGTCAATGTGAGGGCCCTGAGGTGGGGAGCGAGGGGTGGGGGGTGCCCAGCAACAAAGACAACAGTGTAATTGGAATGGAGCCGATGTCAGTGATCCACAGAGGGCCTACCATGTCCCAGGCACTAGGGAGACAGGAGAAGATGACAGAGCTGCACCCTAGTCCCTAGGGGGACACCCAGAGTCATTGGGGAGACTCAGCAAGTAAAGCAAAGAAAAATCCAAGCATTCCAGAGCCTGGAAAGAGCCCTGAAGGAAACACCAAGGGAATTGTGCCAGGACAGCCTGGCTGCAGAGGGGCCAGTTCAGACAGGCCAGGAAGGTCTCTGGGAAGGATCCCGCTGGGCAGAGAGGTGGATGGAGAAATGCTTCCGGACACACCCCGGGTCTCCGTCCTCACACCAGCCCCTGGAGAGGTTGGCCATGACTGCCATTCCAGGGACATGGAGGGGACCTCCCAGATGTCACACACATTGCAATTAAATAGTGGAGCAGAGAGACAGCCCAGGTCTCTAGGGTCCAAAGTCTGGATGAACTTTTAATAATTCTGTCTCTTGGCTTCTTCTGGATTTTGGTAGGTTTCCACCTCTGCCCTGTTCCCTTAAAAACTCCATTCCTGAGCCTCAGAGACATTTCCGGAAGACAGGAGCCACTTTCATGGCTTGAAGAGAGGTGGTGGGTCTTCTGGTCTTGACAATGAGGCCTCTTGGCCAGCTCAGTTCATCACAGCCTACGGTGACCCGCCAGCCTCCTGGCTGCTCCAAGACCTCAGTTACCCCACATGAGGTGGGGTGCAGTGAATCCTACAATGTCTAGCTCAGACTGAGGGCTCCACAAATAAGTTTCCTCCTGTCCTCCATCCTCATTCACCACCTGGCAAAGGGGCATATATGCTTCAGAGAACAGAGGTGTGACCTCTGGAGAAACAGCGGAGGTCATCACCAGGACCCCTCCTGAGTGAGGGTGGTCTAAGCTGGCTTCATGACTTTCCGGGGCCTAGCCACTTTGCTTTAAATGGTTCCTTCCCCAGAACAAAATATAAAAAATATATTTTGTGATTACGTTGGTATAACTATTAATTAGTTTGCTAGGGCTGTCATAACAGAGGATCACAGGCTGGAAAGCTTAAATAAGAGAAATTCACTCTCCCACAGTTCTGCAGGCTGGAAGTCCAAGATTGAGGGCCAGCAGGCTTGATTTCATTCATTAGGTTTCCCCTCAGCTGTTCTCACTGGTCTCTCCTCTGTGCTCATCTCAGCCCTAATCTCTTCTCGTAAGGACACTGGTCACACTGAATTAGGAGCCAATGACCTCAAGTTAACCTTAATGACCTCTTTAAAGACCCTACCTTCAAATACAGAGACATTCTGAGGTACTGAAGGCTAGGACGGTGGGGAGGGGGTGGTGGGGCAGATGTAGAGACACAATTCAGGCCAGAATTTAATTATCTAAATATATTACATATACATATGTATTAAATGTTATGTTTGACCTAAAAGCTCATTTTGTCCCCTTCTGCTCTCAACAATAATTAAAACATATTCACAGGCCCTAAGACCCCTGTCCTCCTGTGCCTGGGGAAGTCAGCCCTGACCAGATGCTCACAGACCCTGCTCCTCAGGAGTCATCTGGGTACTGGGCTCTGAGCTGGGTCAAGGGGAGCGGCTGGAGCAGTCAGAGGATGCTGCTGCACTGCTGCTTAGAAAACCTTGTCCTGATTGGAGCGCGGGAATGTTCTATGAACATCCCAGACAGAGCCAGCGGCTGGTCCCTTTGGGGTGGAGGCTTCTGCCAGTACCAGCCCAGGACCAGGCAGCACTGAGAGCTGCCCCATCTTTCTCAGCTGTTCTCCTGACCTCTCTCAAGACACTCTAGTCAAGCATTCACCTGCACACACTGTCAGAACTGTACTTGTTGACCGCCAGCAACCTCCACCAGGCCGTTCCTCGCTTCTCAGCAACGTTTAGTTCAGAACTTCCCTCCTCCTGTGGCATCCAGGGTGCCACATTCTCCTGGCTTCCTCCCCATCCCTCCTCAGTCTCCTCTGCCGGCTGCCCACCTTGCCCCTGGCCCCTTGACATTGGAGGGTCCCAGGCCTGAACCCTTGGTCATCTTCTCTGCCGCCCCTGAGGCCCTTAGTAACCCAAACCAGAATGGTGGCCATGGCTCTCCTTACAGGTGTGTGTCTTGCCATCCACCTCCTCCGCCAGAATAGCAACTCTGCTGTGAAGACACTTGTTTTGTTCATGAAGGTATCTCCTGACCTAAGACATTGGCTGTCAGGCTGAGTGTCCCATAAATATTTGCTGAATGATGGGATCAATGAATGAGGCCGCATCCCAAACACCCTCCCAGTGGGACCTCAAGATTTCAAAGTGTATTTACTTCCTTCCATGCCTGCGGGTTCCTAAGTGGAGAGGGGATCACAAAAGGCTTGATCCTAAAAAAGTGTGTTTTGAGGCTGCCTTTCGCCTCACACTCCCTGGCTGACCTGGAGTGCAGTTTCCTTGTCTAAAGGGAAAGAACAGCTACTTCCACAGATGTGACAGAGATCCACTGGACAGCGTCCTGCATGGGGCAGACAGCATCGCCCCAGCCCCTTCAATGACAGAGGGTATTTTCCATCACAGCCTTGTCCTCATCTGTTAAACTTGCAACATGTGGCAGTGATGACAGACCTGCACATGGACCTCCTCTCACCCAATCATGTAGCAGGAATTCTGAGGAAAGGGAGGCAGGGCGACTCCATCCCCGTGGCACGGGCAGATCACCTGCAACTCCTCCAAGTTTACTCAGCGTCGCGTTAGTGAAAGTAGGGAGAGCAGGACCTGAACTTGAGACTGACGCCAAATCCCAAGACCTCTGATTGCCTGTTCCAGCTCATGTCTCTACCTTCCTTCTCTCTCCTCCTCCTCCTCACCAACCCAACCTGCCACCAAGTAGTAAGGAATCTACCTGCTAAATATCTCCTGAGTCATCCACCTCCTTGGGGCCAGCCAGCTCCTTTCTCACCATCCTAGGATGTCTCTACACTGCAGCCTGGGGGAACTTTCCAGAACATGAAGCTGACCAAACCTCTCACTGCCTAAAATCCTTCATGGCTCCTTGTTGTTAAGCTCAATGTTCCGGCATGTCCCACAAAAGCCTTTGAATTGAGCCCAGACAACACCTCCAGCCTTGTTCTGCCCATGCTACCTGCCCTCTGTCATATTTACCCACATGCCTGTCCCCCTGACACCCCCTGGCTCCCTGAGAAATAAGGTATGCCTGCTGACCACCACCTGCGTGCCAGTCCAGTGCCTCACACACAAGTAGTTATTTGTTAGCTTGTCCACAATATCTCCCCTCCTCCTCCTCCAGTGACGTGGGACTGGTTGACCACTGTCTAGAATGGTCTCCCAGCACACAGAAACTGCCCATGCCCTGTGAATACCAGAAGGCTAAACACGAACACACATGACAGCACAGCCAGGCAAGAGCACTGACAATTCTGTGCTCAGAACCGTCCTACTCCCGCCGTGTCCAGGCTGTGTTGGGGCCTTTGCTGATAAGAGAGATCCCAGCTCCCAGGTGGACTGAGCACCCCGGCCCCTTGATCCCTTACCTTCAGCCTCAGCTCCTTTCTTCTCAAAGGCCACACGCAGACGCTCGAGCACCACACTGTCACTGGAACCCTCCACCCGGACCTCCTCATCCAGCACCCAGAACAGGCCTCTGGCCTCCTCAGCACCTCCTCCAGCTGGAAGGCGGACCTGGTGGGAGATTCAGGGGGCAGTGAAGGGCACTGACCCTGATGGAGGCCAGTCCTGGATCTTCTTCCCACCTATAGAGTCAGGGGATCTGAGGCCCAGGCTTCATGGCTCAGGAGCACCAGCCAGGATCCAAGCTCCTGCTCACACCCACATTCCCACTCACCTCCGGACTCTCAGTATTGAAATCACAAAGTTCTCATAACAGCCTTGGTTCCAAGGTCTGAATCCCATTCTTGTTTTCATGTGCTATGTGACCTTGGGCAACTTATAGCACCTCTCTGAGCCTCATTTCCTCATAGCAAAATGGACAATGGCCTCAGAGGACTGTAGTGGGAATGCAACACAGGGAAGGTACTCTGTAAACTACACATTTCTAGATACACACAGGCAAAACACAAAAGGATCCATTCCAGCCATGTCACTTCCTCACAGAGGTCTTTGTATTTTTTTTTTTAACTAAAATCTTGAGGGGATAAATAAAAACAAAAATAGCAGCCAAAGAAAATATTACAAAAGGTGAATGTGGTTCAATACCACAGCCACAAATTTTAAATCCAGCTACAAGTGCCGGGGACCATCTAGGCAACCCTGCAGTTTTGCACACAGGAAACCCAGAGGGGTCTGGGGCATTGAGGGGCTTTTGAGACCCCACAATGACTCAGCACAACCAAAAACAGTGCCAAGTGGCTGTGGAGGGTATGTGACACCTAAGGGGACCACAGTTCCAGGAGGGTTGAGCAGAGGTGCAAGTCTGGGGTCAGCGCCAAATTTCAAGTTCTCCAACCACCAGTGCTCCTATCTCCCAGTCTCTGGTACACACAGCACCTCTGTCTGCATAGCTGGCCTTTCCAGGCAGGTGTGGCTGGGGACTACTGGGCACTGGCAACCTCAGCTCAGCCCATGGACCCCCAGACGTGTCCTAAGACACAGACTCAGCCATAGAACAGAGCAGAGCATCTCCACCGAGATTTCAGTATTTCCTTCCCCAGGCTATGCCCCCAAACCAACTACTGAAGAATCTCGGAGTGGTACAAGGAGATGTTTTTCTTCCTATTGAGGTGACAACACTGTATTAGTTGACAACACTGTATAGGTTTCAGATGTACAGCTTCTTGTCTCACTGACTGCAAATTTCACACCATGCCCACCGCGAAATGTCCAGTCACCATCTACCACCAATCAGTTTACAGAGCCTAGGGATTGTTTTTGTTTTGGTTGTATTAGTGGCTTCAACAATCCTCAGTGATTCCAGGGGCAGAGAGCTTGGAGAACTAGTAGCTTAAACACTCAAATCTGCTGGCATTTCAATCAAAAGACATCATGGCAGGCGAGAGCCTTGGTTTTGGTTTACTGGACTCATGTTACCTGGGAGGGATTCTGATCCACAACAGCCACAGTGGTGCCTGGGGAGCGCTCTGGGAGATCAAACTGTACAGGAACACCTTCCTGGAAAATCGTAGGAATTAAAAGTCAGTTTCCTCAGTGAAAGAGTGGGGAAGAAGTAAGACTTTCATCATCCCTTAGCCTTTTTTAACTATGCTTTTAATTGTAGTAGCACACAATGGCCATCTTAACCATTAGTTTACTGCACAGCTCAGTGGCTCTAAGTACATTCGCCGTAGGCCACCATACCCACTATCTACCTCCAGAGCGCTCTACATCCTCTAAAACTGAAACTCCAGCCCCACTTCCACCCCACCCCCTCTCTCCCAGTCCCTGCAACCACCATTTTACTCAATGAAGTCAGCTTCTCAAAGTATCTCTTCTGAGTAGAATCAGGCAGAAACTGCCCTTCTGTGCCTGGTTTATTTCACTGAGCATAGTGTCTTCAAGGTTCATCTATGTTATAGTATGTCTCAGAAGTCCCTTCCTTTTTATGAGTGAATAATAGTCCATTGTGTGTGAACCAGTACTGAATACACCACATTTTGTTATCCTTTCATCCATCAGTGGGCACGTGGGTTGCTTCCACTTTTGGCTCCTGAACGACACTGCTCTGATCATGGGTATACGCGTATCTCTCTGATATCCTTCTTTCAATTCTTTGGGTTTCCTGCCCAGAAGTGGAATTGTTGGATCATGTGGTAATTTTTTTTTTTTTTGAGACAAAATAGTGGTTTCCACAGCAGCAACACCATTTTATATTCCTTCCAGCAGTGACCAAAGATTCCAATTTGTCCATGTCCCTGCCAACACTTGTTATTTTCTGGATTGTTTTGTTTTGTTTTTGTTTTTTACATACACATATAATGGCTACTCTAATGGGTGTGGAGGGCATCTCATTTATGGCTCTAATTTGCATTACCCTAAATTAGTGCTTATTGGCCATTTGTATATTTTCTTTTGGAGAAATGTCAATTCAAGCTCATTGCCCATTTTTTAATCGGCTTTTTTTTTTTTTTGCTTGTTTTAATCATCATCCCTTAGTCTATGTGTCCAGAAAGATCACAGGGAACAATCCAGTAGCACCCCAATATTGCTTATGATGCAGAGTGGTCTGCAACCCTAGCAGGTTTTATCAGGAACCAATCATTCAGTCCAAATTTCTCTAATATTCACAGAGTGCCTAATAAATCTGGACTGAGTAGCGGGAGCTGGCAGGAGCAAGCATCAACTAATTATAGCTACAGCCATAACAGCTGCCATATAAAAGTAACCCGAAAATTCCAGAAGTATCCATCACAGTGCTGTTTGTCACAGCTTAACTGTGGAAACGGCACAGAGGTACAACCGAGAATTGAGATAGAATCAGACATAACCAATGGAATGTATGTTTACTGAGAGTTGTAAATGGAAAGAGGAAATGTGAATAAGGTAATGCTGTGAGGAAAACTGCAGACAGCAAAATTGTGTACACAAAAGGCTCGGAAATCTGTGCAGAAGCCAATATCTGGAAAAATGATGGGAATAAAACATAGACAGCAGTAACAGTGGTTGCCTCTGGGTTGTGGGCTAAAGTAAATTGTGTTTTCTGCTTCTTGACACTTATATGCACTTTCCAATGTCTAATAAAGAACACGTATTACTTTGATAATCAGAAGTAAGTGAAATATCATGGAGGACAAATATGATAGCTGCTCCCACATATTGAATGCCTAGTACAGATTAGCCACTTACTATTCTACTTCATTAAATGCACGAAACAGCTCCTTTAGGCAGTGTGGTAAAAATGATTATAAAAATAACCTCATTCTCTCCCCTTCCCTGTATCCAGCTCTTTGCACAGAAATACTGCATCTTCTTCCATCAAGAAGCGGAACTAATTTCCCTGACCTTGAGCCAGGGTTCGGACTGGACTTGCTGTGACCAATCAAACACAGCAGACGTGACACTGCTAGATCCAAGTCTAGGCTGCAGTGCCCCTGCACATATGGGCCATGAGAACAGCCAGGGCTGGCCTGCTGGACACCCTGGGGGCAGAGCTGAGTCACCCTGGCCAAGGCCTGCCCAGATCAGCTCATAGCTAGAGGACCCCAGACACATGATCCAGCCCCTCAAGACCATCAGAGCCATCTGCCCCACCTGCGTCTGACCACAGGCAAAGAGCTTCCTCAGCCAAGACCGGAGGAGCTGCCCAGGCAAGCCAGAGACTTGTGGGCAAATGGCCCGCAAACCACAGGGCTTGGGGGTAGTTTATTATGCACCGTTATTGTGGCAAATGGCTGATGACACAGGAGTATTTGTTGGCAGAGGTCATCAGGGTGAACAGCAGTTATCCCACGAGCTGAACCTGGACAAAGGAGGGCTCCTCAGTGCCTCCTCTCATCCTTGTACATCACACCCACTGTTCCCACAGTAGGAGCCATTTCCAAGAGCACAGCCTTGAGAGTAAGGTGTTGTGGAGACTGTGTGGACTGAACCCCATCAAGGCCTCTGCATAAACTTTTAAGACGCTGGCAGGAGAGTGCAAAGATCTACACCTCTCTCGTGCCGCCCCCAAGCCAGCCTTGTAAGAAAGTTCCCTTGCCGATGAAAATCATTCCTACCAATCTGGAGTGGTGTGCCTCTTTCTGTGTGCCTTCTTGCCCTCTGGGTACAGGGGCAAGCTTGTGAATCAATAGTATTGATGTGTCTGTTTTATATGTGGAGAAATCGGGGTGACTTTCTGGACGTCACACAACTAGTAAGTGACACAGCTGGGTGAGACCCCAGGCCTCATCGCTGTCTCATTATCATTTGAAGCATCATGTTGATGCTTCCATGTTTATCGTTATATGGGCTCCCACCAAAAATATGACCATAATTTCAAAATCCATATCCCTCTGCTAAACAATCAGTCATTTCTAGTATTTTTCCATTAGCACTTGCTGGGGTCAAAGAGGTCTCCTTCAGGGAAGAAGGAGGGACTAGATAAGTGGGGGCCTCTGGGGTGCTGGCAATGTTCTACTTTTCACCTGGGCGGTAGATGCATGAGCACAACCAGAGTATAAATCCATGGAACTGAACACTTCTGATTTATGTACTTCCCTGTGTGATGTTATATTTCATCTTAAACTTTTTTTAATAAGAAAAGAAGTTCTGGCAGGAGCATGCCCGTGCAAGTGTCCTGCTTCATACATAGTTCTTGGCGGGGGGTGACAAGTCGCCTGCTCCTCCTGGAAGGGGACCCGCATCTTCCGTTTTGTTGGATATTGCACATTGGAAGCTGAAGGGTGAGGGGGGTGTGTGCACACCACTGTTTTCACCCAACAACAGAGTATGAAGGGCATTCCACAGTGGGGGAGATGCAGATGCTAAAGGAGGATTGATGTTAATGGGGGAGGAGCAACAGGTCATCCCAAAGAATAAACAATGTCGGGAGCAAGGCCCAGCAAGTTCCCCACAGTTTCTGGATTGTAGGGTTTAGGGGATCATGGATAGAGACAGGCTGGGATTTTGTTCGGTGGTGGTATAAGCAAGATGAAGCCCAAGATACCTGCAGGGCTGGGCTGCCCCCCTCCCTGCCCCACCTCCGCTGAGCCGAGGTGAAGGCCCACTGCAGCCCTGGCATACCTCCCGGTACTGCTCCAGCGTGGAGACAAAGGTCTGCTGGTGGAAGAGCAACTGCAAGCGCTCATGGGCATAGTTGTGGCACAGCTCCTCGAAGGTGGCCGCTCTGTCCTTGCTCTGGTGCCGGGGGTTCTGAAAGCCTGGACAGTCCACCACCATGATGGAGGCCATGGAGAGGTGGTTGGAGGAGAAGGATCTGGAGAGAGGAGAGAGGCCCAAGATGACAGAGCATCTGAGGGCTCCCACTGGTCTGAGCCTCCCATCCCCCCAGGGAGAGAGAATGAAGACCCCAGGGGCTGCGTCAAGAATCAAAGGACTTTAAGTTTGGAAAGTGCTCCTGTGGCTACAGCAGGGTGTCAGGAAATGTTCTCTCTCCACCAGGCCCAGAGTAGAGAAATGACTTGCTTAAGCTAACACTGTAAATTGGCTATAAAGTTAGGACCATAGCTTGCTTTTCTTTCCTCACAGACACATTGAAATGAAAAAACAATTTTGTTCAGTGCCTCGGTTTACAAAGTTCTTTCAAGTCATCACCTCCTTGGATCTTCTTGAAAAACCTATCAGGAGAACAGAGCAGGGATTATTCAGACCAAAATGTGGGAGATAAGAAAGTTTGGAGACAGTCACATGTAGGTTTCAACTCTCACTTGCCATGGCGGGGCTGTGTGTCTTAGGGAAGTTGTCAGATCTCTCTGAGCCTCAGTTGTGAAGGGTTAATGGTAGAGGCCAATGCAGAGGGCTGTAGTAGGGAGGGTCGGATGTGATAAAACATCCAGCCCTCTAAACACGCTGGGCCCCTGGTGAGCACGCAGGGAATGTTATCTGCTATTATTAGCGTGATGGGCTGCAAGCTTTGGTGACCTGTAGCTGAGCTCTTCCTCATTACTTGCCAAGGATTTCCATCTGTAAAATGGAGCAATGTGTGAAGATGAAGTTAACACTCAAAAAGCCAGCATTTTCTAGGTGCTCAGTAAAGGTAGTGGACACTGCTATCTCTGCACTGCCTTGGGGTGGACTCCATGACCGCAAACCAGGAAGCAACCACCCTCTGCAGGCCAAGGCTGCTTCCTCCCCTGGCGGTTCATCTTCCAGCCCCTGTGCTCCCTCCTCTGAGCGTGCATGAAGCCCTTGCCTTCTAGATAATGTGTCTGCGGTCTCAGGTGGTAATTACTCCAGCAGCAACAGAGGGAGCTGATTCCATGTCCGCAGTGATGATGGCAAACCCCAGCTGCTCTGTTGCTATGCACCAGCCTCGTCTTCCCCCCAGGATGTCGGAAGCCTAATTATGCCTCCTGCTTTCTCTGAGGAGGAGGGACGCCCTTTCCTTGGCGTCACTCATGATGATAGGAAACATTAGTTCCCAGTGCCCGATGCCCCACAGACACATATAAGACACGCCCTGGCCTGCTCCAAATTCTACCCTGATTATTCCCCATTCCCAACAGGGAAAGTTAGAAAAATAAATGGATGAGAGCAACATGGCTGGTAAGGGAAACTTGAAGGTATGAGTGGGAGTATAGCCTGGTGTTTTTTTTCCAGCTCCAGCCCTCAGCCTTACTTACCTCATCTTTAAAATGGGCTGGTATGAATATTAAATGCCACAAGGAAAGTTGAACATAGTACAGGCCCTGGCCCTTGGTAGGTACCCCCAAATTGTGAGTTTTAATTGTTGGTATTTTATGAGCACTAGTAGGAGGAGTTATTTAAATACATTATCTCTTTGAATCCTTAGAATGGCCCGGGGGCACAGAAGATAGAGATATTTTACAGATGCAGAAGGAGAGGTCAGAGAGGAGAGGTCAGGGTGACTGAGCCAGTAGATTGGCAAGACGGCACTTATATCAGGTACAAAACCCACACTCACTCCAGTTCAAAACCACTCATAATGCCCAGCAGCTTTGTGCCCCACCTCGCTGGGGTACTGGCAGGGGTGGACTTTGTGCCCAAGGAAGGGCTCTGTTACCTGTTGATGAGTGAGACCACAGCAGCAAAGAGCTCTTGGTACAGGCCCGAGGCCATCCCCTCCACACACTCCACGCCTGTCATCTTGAGCCCTAGAGAGGGAAAGGGGAAGGATCACATCCCACGGTCAGGACCTTGTGTGGAGGACTCACTCCAGAGGCTGAAACTAAGCAGCTGCTGACACTAAGCAGCCATGCTTTCGCAGCACTGACCACAGTGCATTTTCACTTATTATTACAATGTGGTTGCTTTATTGACCTGGATCTCCCCCGCCAATCTCCCCATCGCCCCTGAGGAAGGGGACTGTCTTTGGGTTTGTTGGCACTCAAATCCTCAGTGTCTGGCACCATAGAAGGTATTAAGTGAATGCTTCTGTTCCCTCTTCCTGGAGGTAAATTTGGCAATATTCTAGCAGAAGCCATGAAATGTTAATATACTTGGACTTAATAATTTTACTCTTATGTTTTTATCCCAATGAAATATTCAAAGAAACAAAAATTTCTGGGTCTATCTGTTTTCCTGATTGTTGACTAAATGGGCAAAAGTCACTTTTTGGAAACACTTTGAATGTCCAGCAACAGCAAATGGGTTAGATAATTTACAGTTCATTCATACAAATGCTTAAAATCCAGGTACAGAGGAATGTTGAATGAGGAAAAGTACCAACCTATAATGTTAGGAAAAATGAAAATCTTAGAAAAAGATCATTACACCTGTGATCTTAATATCGTTTAAACGCAAACACAAACACACACACACACACACAAGTAAACACATACACACATCTCTCATTAAAATAGCCAGCCTTGATTATGGTGCATTGAACAAAGAAGGGTGAAGAGAGAGGGTTCAATGTGCACGCACCTATGCACACACATGCACACACATTTGCAGACACAAACACCAAATGTGCGCGCATACATATCACACATGCAGCAACACATGTGCATACCACACATTTACAAACATGTTCAAGACACACATAGCACCTCATGCACAGAATTGGAAACTCAGTTTCCCAATCTGCACACACTAGTGCAGGGAGAAGTAGTTGTGCTTATATATTCCAGACAGCCTGCTGAAGCCCCAAAGCATTCCCCATCCTGCCTTTAACTCCACCCCCAACCCTGCCCATTGCTAGGCAACCCAGAGACTCCCTGCATCTCTCCTAAGCCTACTGGTCCCTTGCCTCTCAAGATCTACCCTCGAGACCTTGGCCTGAGAGGGTGACTCAGCCTCACACAGTGGTGCATGCTTGTGTTGGTGCACACACGTGTACAGTGTGTCCATGTACATGCAGGCGGCAAGTGTCTCAAACACACGTTCATGTGGTACAGTTGTGAATGTGTGGTGTGCACATGTGTCAGTGCATGTGTGGTGTGTATCTGTGTGCACGTATGGTGTTTTTGTGTCTGTAAATGTATTGCATAAGTGTGTGTACAATGATGTGGTGTCTGCATATGCCTCTGCACATGGGTGTACATATGGTATGTGCCTGGGTGTGTGTATAGGTTTGTGTGCTGCGTATCAGTGGACATGTGGTAAGTGCCTGCATGTGCATCTGTTTGCTGTGTATCTGTGCTGTGTGTGCAGTTGTGCATGTGTGCACGTGTACATGTGTGGGTGTGGTGGGCATGGGGTGTGTTTCGGAAAGGAAGGTATCCATAAGCTGACTACAGCTCATACCTGCACCTGAAAGGAAACCAAAAAGGCCCTTGGAATCCAAGTGGCATCAGCCATCCAGCTGAAGTCCCTAGGAGGCAGAGCAGCACTGAAGATACAAAGTGACCTCTAAAAAATGGGTCCTGCAGCTGCTCAGGCCAAAATCCTAGAAGCCACCCTTGGTCCTGCACTGTCCCCCAGGGCCCATGGCTTCATCTCTGTTTGTAAACTAACCTTAAACATGTCTACCTCACCTGTCTCTACCACCACTTCCCTGTCCAGCCACCACAATCTCACCAGGGTGACTTTTTTTCCCCCTCTTTTTAAAATATTTTATTTTATATAATTCTTACATCATTTTTCATTTTTGCACAATGTATGCATTTTCATCTTGGTTATAGTCCCCATACAATTCCCACCCAGGGTGACTTTATATTCCCACCCAAGCAGTCTCTCTTCTCCCACTCAGTCCCCAAATTTCTCTCAGGCTGAGCTTCTTCACAAATAAGGCAAATCATGCCATCCCCTGCTTATGCCCCTCTGTGGCTTCTCACAGGTCTGAGGACAAAAACCCTCATATACAGACTATTCTATGAGCTGATCACTGCCCTGCTATCCAGACACTTCTCATACTTTCCACCCAGCCACTGGGGCCTACCTGACCTTATTTCTGTTCCTCAAACTGAAATGTCAATCTTCCCTCTTCAGAGTAGGGTTCAACAAACGTATTATCTAGTGGAAGCAGCGTCCCCTCCCCACAACACAGCTTCCAGCACCTTCATGACCATTGGACAGAGCTAACTATGTGGCCATCATCACTGTCTGTGGGAGCCATGTTCATTTGCAGCAGCAGTGGCTTCCTTGCTCTTGGAAAGTCTACACATAGTGGGCCTTCAATAATTCCTTAATGAACAGGAAAAATGCTGGGTGTCCCCAGGAGCTGGCCAAGTGGGACCCAGCCCACACCAAGAGGCAATCGTGTGGTACCTGAGCTGGACTCCTCATCCTCAAGGCCCCGCCGGCTTGACCCAGATGTCACTTGCTCGATGATCTGTCGAAGGTGGTGCTTGAAGGTGGCTGTGTTCAGCTCCTCATACTCGCACCCCAGGGCCTCAGCTGCGTGGTTTGCCCACTCAAATCGCATGAACTGCTTCCGACCCACTGCAGGAGGGACAAAGCGGAATTACAGTGGTGAGGTGCTCAGCATGGGTAGGTGTGTGCCAAAGAGAAACTCAAAGAATTTCCAGCCTGCAGGTGGCCCATCCTGAATGTGGAGCTTGAATAACTGGCCAGGCCGGGGCCCTTAGGGATGACTCCTGGGCAGGGGCCAGTTTTCCAAAGAGACACATTTATCTTACTTCCTTGGCACTTGTACTGTTCACTTTTTGAAAGCAATTAAAAATACTATTATGGGCACACTCTAAATGTGGAACTAGGGGATGGTTAGAGAAAATATGATTTCTCCCTGCGATCATTTACCTATTCTTCTACCCAACTGTGACCACTGCCAGCTCCCTACCGACCCACTCAACTACCTACCCAGACACACATCCAACCGTGTCCCTACCCTTCACTTCATATGTATGGGGCTCCTTCTGTGACAGACACTGTGTTAGCCTCTGGGAAGTCAGTGATGAGCAAGACAGACAAAGTGCCTGACCTCGTGGATGATCAATTAGGAGAATGAAATGACAGACAAGTGAACAAGTAGACAAAATCAATAATTTTAGGTGACAGAAATTGTAAAATTCTTCCCCCCTAAAGAGAAAATAAGACAAGATGGTGAGACCAAGAGAAACTTAGGGATAGGCTATGTATTAAACATATATATTTTTCATATATATGTTTATATACACATATGTTGGTCAGAAGCTCCATTTGAAGGTGATATTCAAACTGGGTTATGAAAGGTAAGAAGGAGATGGTCATATAAAGAATCAGGGAAGAGCCTTAAGATGTATAAGGAGTAGGCAGTGCAAAGGCCCTGGGGCAGAAACAAGCATTGTATGTTAAACAAATGTCAAGAAGGCCTACATAGCTGGAGTACATTGCAGACTGAGTAACCAGATGAGGTTAAGGAAGCAAAAGAAAGACTCTGCACAGTGGACAATGCTTATAGTCGAATTTTAGTGAAAAGAAAATGAGAAACAGCACTATGGATTCGTTGCAATTCTTTACTACTACTACTACTACTACTACTACTGCTACTACTACTACAACTACTAGTACTAAATATTCACAAGAATCCTAGAAAGAGTACTATCATTCTCATTTTATAGATGAGAAAACTGAGTCAGAGAAGTCACCAGAAATCAGACTGATACTAAGTGGAAGAACTGAGTATATTACTCCCCAATCCATCCATCAAATACCACCTTTGGAAAATTTGCCCTCTTTTTGTGACCCTAGATAAAACCTTCTAAATAGACTCCCTTATCTTTCTTACATTGTGAAAGGAAATGTTACAGCACTGCTTTTGATGAGAAGCCATTATCACCTGTCATAATTAGAAAGTAGAAATAAATACAATATGAGCACAAAACTATCATTAGAGTCTAATTAGATACAGTTACCTGGGAGCCTGAGGTCGTGTCTCTCTCTCTGTTAAAAGGGCCATTAACAAGTATTAGGAGAGGCGTTAAAGGCTATTAGCCCTGGAAGAGACCTTCTTCTTGTGATAGGGGTTGAAAGTGAATTCAATAGCACAGAACTCTCCAGGGGGTGATGGCCTGTCCCTCTGCTGCCCCATCAACTCTCTACTCTTTAAAACAATCCACATTCCAAGTGCCATGACTTCTACAGCCTCCTGAGCTAAACAGAAGTCAAAAAAATCCCGCAGTGGCTGGTTCTAGAAAGAGGAGCGGTGAAGGAACTCATCTGGACTAAATCCTGCCTGACTCAGGGGGTCACCCCAGATGTGACTGAGCAGCATCCTGTAGGTGAGATCCAAGTGGGGGGACACAGGGAGCTCACGCAGGCCCACACAGAATCCAACCCCATGGGTTGCTCTGTCTGTTTAGACACGCGTAGAGGTCAAAGAAGAGGCATAGAACCTGTTGGCTCAGCACCCCGCACCAGCCTCTCTCAAAGTCAGGGGCCAAGTTGTCCATGGATTGTCACCTAGGTTGGAAATTGCAGCACAAGTGAGGTTGTCTTGCTCAGGTGACCCCTCCTGCAAAGGCATTGTTTCAGCAGCGAGCACAGCCTCGAGCATGGAGCATGCGTCACAAGCCAGTCGCTGCACTAGCTTTCCTGGGCCTTGTCTGTTTACTCTCATAAAAATCCCTTGAGATAGGACAGGAGGGAGAGGAGGTCTAGTTTTGTGTCCGGGTGGGGCAGGAATGAGCAGCGTCAGGATTCCCGACCTGAGTGGGGACATCAGACAGTGCAGTCGCCACTGTTGTGCACGCACAGAGGCCTGTGTGGCCCCTGCTCTGTCCGGAACAGAGCTATCACCAGGAAGGGCTCAGTAAATACTTGGAGAGTGAGGGATTAGATGATACAAAGAATCAATAAAGGAACAGAATGCTTCTTGCGGATGGCGGGTCCTGCCCACTTCCCTGCTCCTTTTTCCAATGTTTGGGAGCCAGAACCACTGCATTCCCCTCCCTGCAAGGAAGCAGCCCTCTGAGCCTCAGAGCCGGCCTTCTCTATCAGGAAAGATCAAATAAAAACAAGTCAAAGAGGGAGAGGCCACAAGACAGATGGAAACCCACAGATGGAAGTCCTGGGCTCCTCCAAGGACACTCCCAGGGAGGGTGTGGGTTTTTCCCTTTTCCTGGCCCACTCGGAGGAGAGAGCATACTTCTTACCACCCACCATGAGGCCAGGAGGCTGTGCTCAGAATGACTCCAAAGTGAAATGCAGAGATCATTTCAAGGGTATATATTTGATAGCCAGTCACGCTATTGCTCGAGTGGGAAAGAGGACCCCGTGGCAGGTGGGCCAGAGTCCAGGTCCGCATGGGCTTGCACCTGCATGATCTAGGGACCCTCCACATCTTCTTCAAGCCTCACACAGAACATGTGGAGTTGACCAGCAGGAGCACTCCCTTGTACCCCTCCTGCCAGCCCCCTCTGTCTCACCACCCAAGAAAGAGAATCAGAATGCAAATACCTGCCAGACAGCATTACAAAGGGAACCCAACTATCCTCACAGCAGCCAGCACTTGCTGTCCACCCACCAGGGCCTGCAATGGGTAGAGCGCTGCACTCCTACTGCCTCGCTGAGTCAGCCCTGAGGTCAGTATTGACATCTGCACTCGGCTCCTGAGCCTCAGAGGTGATCTTCCAGGGTAAGGTGCAGAGGAAGGACTTGGGCTCAGGCCTCCTGACACCAACACACTGGATCCTAACCCCCAAGCAGTGGGGCCTCCCCGTGTAAGGGAGTGCCATCTAAAGACAGCCGAAGGCAAAGAGTCAAGTCCCCTTAAAATTACCCTAGAGAGAGTCTCCTAACTCACCCATGATGGACGGTATATGGCAGCACGTTTCCACAAGCCCAGCACATCAAGCCTTCCCTCCCCAGGACACCAAAGAGAGTGGGTGACTTGCCTTTGGAGCCGTGGGATAGGAAGAAATACGGAACCACCAGCCTCACATGTGTCTCTGTCTGTGTGGCTGGACTTACATAAACAATGCAAGGATGATAGGACCATTCACCCTTAAATCTGTTCTATATTTTAGAATTACTTTCAAATTCCAATTCTATTATTATTCTTAGCGCAAATGGTCTGTGTCTCAAGCCATGGCCTGGAGGATGCATGTCTACTCTGAGGGGACAACGGACTGCTGCGAGACCTTGGCTGATCGCCCTGCTGCTGAGCATCATTAAGCCTAATTTTATAGAGGTTACCGGGAAACAGATTGAGAGAGTGCCCTGCCTGACGTCACACAGCAAGTAAATGGCTGAACCAGGGCTTGAATCAAGGTCCCCAGTCCTCTGTCCCCTGCCCAGGCCAGGAGCACTGCTACCCCATATATCCAGTTTTAGACTTAGCTTGAGCATACATGTGACTCTCGGTCAAGTCAAAAGAAACAGGGACAGACTTCAGATGGCAGTGTGAAACTGTTTTGGTCTTCTGAATTCTGTGCAGAGCTTTCAGAGAAACATGGGCATGTCCTCAAGTGCATGTGCTGGAAGTGCTGCTGAGGTGGAACCAGAGCAGAGCTGTGGGTGCTCTGCCATGTCCCCAGGCCTTTCTGTGCTTTCTATTATTGAGGATGATCTTATACTGGCACTTGCTCTTGCATAGGGCAGCCTAGAAGTGCCACAGAATGAACATACCCTCTACCAAAGACTGAAGAGAAGTCCTTCCAGTGGGGTACATGTTCTATACTGCCCCCTGGAGGCCCCTGCAAGATCCATTCCCAGTTGCCCACAGTTGATGCTGCGTTGGTGATACAGCCATGGTGCCAGGCTTCCTTCCCTGTGTCCCTTCCTCACGCCCCTCCCGGTTCAGCCTGGGATCATTTCCCATTGAAGTGATGTCTTACTCTTGAAGAGGTCTCAGCAAATGCACCCATCCGAGGTGCTAAGGTGAAGAGAGGTCCTCAGAGGCTGACCACACTTAGCAAGTTTGGCTTGGTTTGCTCTTCAATCATTGAGACCAAGAGAAGATTCTCTGGGCACAGCTCTTTCTCTGCATCATTGTCTACTCCTCCAAAGCCATCTGTGTGTTTGAGGGGAGGCCTGGCTCCAGCCAATGTGCTTACCAAGGGCACAGCGGAGTCAGAAACTCTGGGTGGGGAAGGTGTGAGCAGGGAAGAGCAGCCACACAGCTGGGGCTCACAGCTTCCCAAAGGGGCTCCTCTTTGCAGTCATTCTGTGGGATGTACAGCAGCACCACTTGAAAAAGGATGTATCCTGTATCATATCAATTTGGTCACTGCTCAGTGAAACAAGTTTCTTAACTGCAGGACTCCCCAGAGCCTTCATAACACAGCTTTAGAATCTCCAGAAGGGGACATTCTGTTTAGACTTATTTGGCCTCAGAATGCTTTTATGGCATATCTTGCAAGCTGAATGTCCCACAATTCTCTAGTTTAGAAAATTCTGGATTTAACTGAAATAAACCACCAGACTGCAACCAACAAGGTAACCCTGGAACAACTGCCTTAGCAGGGTCACTTGCCCAGTAAGAGGCAGGCTGGGATTTGAAT